ATTCTTATTATTCAAGAGTACAAATATTTCTACTCTTTTTCAATAGTGGCAGTATTTTCACTCTTTTGGAGTGAGATTTTACTCCAAAAAATGTAGAGAGTATATAAACTTATTTCTTCTTCACATATTTTTCAATTTTTATTTTTACGCATACAGAAAAACGCAAGTAAGACATAAACAAAACGAATCGCAGAAGACAATAACGTAAGCAGAAGCAAATATTGATTTGTTTACATTTTACTGCTTATGGAAATTTATGTGTGGGATTCAATTCTCCTAAGCGATTAAATTGCATACTTAAAATTTTTCCGACTGTATTTATAATATTCTGAAGCTAAATAAAATGGAGAAACTTTACAGATTTCCGATCGCAATCTCTTATCGGTATTTCTTTCGATCGCGATTTAATTTCAACGAGATATATTATCTCCGCTGGTGACAAGTGCGATTCGGCGCACCCTCAACGGGATTCCCCGTTGCACGCGACGCAAAAACTTCTCGTTCTCCTGCTAACAGTTTAACCCGTCGCCGATCGCTATTTTTGGCGCAGCGTACGTGCTTCTGCCGTGCCAAGTTCGCGCGCAAGTCGCGGAACGTTCCGCTCGTTCTCCACCGCGACGCGGATCTATCGTCGCGACGACAGATTCGCGATCGCAAAATTTTATCATCCGATATCGTGAAACTCCGCCACCTGATCTGCATCCCGCGATAAATATAATTTTGAACTTTAAGCAGGGTTGGATAGTGCTAAGTTAAAAAGATAAAAGTTAAGTTAAAAAGTTAATCAATTTTAACTTAACTTAGCTACATTTTAGACTTTTAACTTTTTAACTTAATTTAATTACATTTTATCGGTAACAATTAACTTTTAATTTGACTTTTTTAAGTCAATCCTCAGACACAATGCGAGAGGATAATGAATATATAATTCAGTAATTTTATATTGTATAATCTATTACTTGTGAACAAAAATAACCAGATTCTTTAATAAATAAAATGCGAGAAAAGAAAAATATGAAAAATTATGTAAAATGGTCAAACTTTTTCTTTTTTCTTTTTTTTTTGGTTATTCATTCGGACCAAATTTAACTTTTAATTTTTCAATTACTTTTTTTTATTAACTTAACTTTTAATTCAATTAATCTCATTATGGATTAACTTGTATTTTAATTAAGTTAAATTTTCAAGGCTATTAACTTTAACTTAACTTAGCTAAAAAAAAAGTTAACTTACCCAACCCTGACTTTAAGATATAAAAGGAAAATACCTGGCGACATTAAAAATGCATACAAACGTAATATGTAAATTAATTATTTTTTAAAAATTGACTTCCATTGTGTTAATAATCGATGAGGAGCTGAATTGTATTCGATGAAATATTGACGCTTTGAGGAGGATAGCAACAATTGAAATATTTTTTTCAAGGGATTGAAATTATATTCTAGTACTTCCGCGAATGAAGCGTGCAAAAAGAGTAGAATATTTTATTTCTTCATTCATTTGCAATTGTAATTTTTATATCGATTTGTACCAACATCTTTACAGCGATGACACAACATGCGAGAAATATCAACAATTTCTAGTAATTACTCTGTAGGGAA